GGCTCCGCCTCCAGAATCCCCAGGTGTTTCCCAACCCGGAGCTGGCAACCCTACGTAGTGTGTGTGTTCTTGCTGGTAGGGTTAGGGTCCGGATGAGAAGTTTCTGGGTGGAGTGAAACTCCCCCCTCCGCTTCCTATGCTGACTCGAATGCTGTTTTTTGAGTATGCACAGTAGAAAAAGCATTCACGAAAGAATCCTGTTTTAGTATGTCAAGTTCATTTCAAAAAACACACACTCTCATTATTAGAGCACGCTGGAACAAGTTCAAACATCCGCTTTTTAATGGAGCGGGCCTTATGCAGAAATTGGCTATACAGCAAGGCAAACAAATAAACGTTACCGCTGAGAACCAGCCAACAAAATTTAAATATTTAAATCAAACTCTTTTGCAAACACATACCAAGGGGATGAAGTGTAATCACTTCTACCCAGGCCTAAAGCCAGGAAAGGGGGGGAAAGTGTATCTCCTGCTAAGAGAAAAATAGGCTTTCGTTTATTTTAAAAATGAAATAATTAGATTTAGGCTTACGAAGATAGGACTGAGAAGCACAACAGGGGCCCACCCTTAAGCGGGGGGTGGGGGGTGGGAGGAAATCAGAGACCGGCAGACTCATGAGATGCTTGTTTTAGAAGAATATGAAAATACTGGGGGAAATGGAAGGAGAGCAGGGAACCGATAAGGGAAACAGACATGCCGAAGGACCAAGAAGCAATCATTGTAGGATGCAGTATAAAAGCGGCTTCATGTGTTCAGTTCTGCAAACGAAGTCAATTGCTGCTCCCCACAGGAGGGAGGGAAAGGAGGGGGAAGCTGCACTGAGGGAAAGGCCGAAGCCGCTTCTGCCAATGGGCCCTCGTTGAACAAAATTCTCGTTGGATGCCTGATTCAAAGTCATCCCTGAACAATGGGTTTGTAATGTATAAATTGGCTCTTATTAAGGCCCTGACCTCATCAGACCTCAAGAGCCAGCTTGGTGTAGTGGTTAAGAGTAGCGGACTCTAAAACTGGAGAACCGGGTTTGATTCCCCCACTCCTCCTCCACATGAAGCCTGCTGGGTGACCTTGGGCCAGTCACCTACCTCACAATGTGCCTGTTGTGGGGAGAGGAAGGGGAAGGTGCTTGTAAGCTGCTTTGAGACTCCGTAAGGTAGAGAAAAGCAGAGTATTAAAACCTTCTCCTCCTCCTCTAAGCAGGGTTGGCCTTGTTCAGTATTTGGGTGGGAGGCCACCAAGGAATACCAGGGTAGGGTCATGAAAATCCCACAGGGTCACCATAAGTCAGCTGTGGCAAAAAAAAGAAGAGGCCTATACATGAAACCCAATGCCTGATCGTAAAAAAACTGGCAATCTGACATCAGGAAGGTCGATCCAATAAGAGAGATCTTTGTGGCCTATTTAAAAGGTTGAGGAAACACCCTAAAGCAACTAGAATAATTTTTTAAAACTTCACTAAGAGATGTGTGGCACCCTCCCCATAACCCCACAGAGAAGTGTTGCTCATCTTATCAAAACGCTTTAATTTCCCTCAAAATTCTAAGCGGGAAGCTCCAAATTCACCTCAGAATTCTGCTTTTGGTGCCATTTGGTGGTACCTACAAAGCCAGGCCTAATCTACTCTTCCCACAGCATGAAAAGGTTTTTCTCTCTCTCCTCATGAAAGGACGTTCAGAAAGGAAGATCACCACAGAGGTGGAGCAACTACCTACTTTTAAGATTCCCGGAGAGTGCTGGGGAGAAGCACTCGGAGAGATTTTGCTCGCTTTACCCCTAGCTTTTGGTTTTACTTTACTTCCTTTAAAATTCTCAGCTGTGCAGAAATCTCCAGATTTGCTACCAGATTTCAAGTTACGGCAAAGACTAAGAGCAACTGAAGCTATGCGGGCATATATCTGCCCGGTGCCGCATGATCTGGACTGGCTACCTATTGAATTCCAGATCCGTTTCATCCATCTTGCCTTGAACAGGGCCAGGGCTTTTTCTGCCCTGGCCCCTATCTGGTGGAACATGCTCCCTATTGAGATCAGGGCCCTGTGGGATCTTCTTCAGTTCCACAGGGCCTGCAAGACGGAGCTCTTTCGCCAGGCCTTTGGCTGAGGCAGCGGGCGTCCACACATGGCCACCCACCCACCAAACGCCGGCCATATCCATCTGCATCAACAGGCCAGAATCTCTCAACTGTAGGCTGTAACTACTGGTTTTAAATGTTTATATATATATAAATTTTAATTTACTGTATTTATTGAAAATGATGTAACCTGCCCTGAGCCCGCTTGTGGGATGGGCAGGATATAAATGTGAAAAATAAATAAATAAGGTTTTGCTGTTCACCTTGAAAGCACTATATGGCCAGGGGCCTGCATATCTTCGAGACCGCCTTTCCCCATATGAGCCCCATAGAACATTATGTTCTACGAACTAACACCTCCTGGTAGACCCTGGCTACCCTAGGGATGTCTGACTTGCCTCAACTAGGGCCAGGGCCTTTTCGGCGCTGGCCCCTGCCTGGTGGAATGAGCTACTGTATGAGATCAGGGCCCTGCAGGACTTGCTACAGTTCCGCAGGGCCTGAAAGACAGAGCTCTTCCGCCAGGCCTTTAGTTGAGGCAGCGGGCATCCACTTTGATCTGGCCTCCCCTCCAGTGACTGCAGTCCCCAGCAGCCGGGCGGGACCCCAATACTATCCATTGAGGCATGTTATTGTCTTAGTTTAAGGTGCTTTTATTGATTTAAATTGGATTGTTATAATGGGCTTTATTGTTTTATTGTAAATCTTAACCGTAAATTATGAACTGTTTTAATTGTAAATCTGCATTATTGTAGACATATATGTTGGTACCCACCCTGAGCCTACATTGTGGGGAGAGCGGGATATGAGTCTAACTAACTAACTAAATAAGCTCAGTTCTGCACATGGAAAGGGCCTTACATATGTGACAGGGACTTTGTTCCATGGTGTATTTTGTACTTTGTAATATTTGACCTCTGAAGAAGGGTTTTGTGAGCCGAAACACGTCAGGTCATACGCTGTTCTTTTTTGTGCATTTGTCACTTTGAACATGTTATGAGGCTTTATTTGGGCCCCAACAAGGTTTTTATATGGCTTTGAAATAAACACTCTTTTGTCTACACTTGTTTATGCTTTTAACTTTTGGCCCTCAATAAGTTTTCTAAACTTCCTTTGGAAGTTTTTGCTTGGTTGGTTTAGTTTTTCTTCCCCTTATTTGGGGGTATAGTCCCGCAGTACACCATACTGGTCAGGCCACACCTGGAGTATTTCTTTTCCCCTGGGGTGACACCTGGAGTATTGTGTGCAGTTCTGCAGGCCTCACTTCAAAAAGGATGTAGACAGAATGGAGCCGGTGCAGAAGAGAACGCTGAGGATGATCGGGGGCCTGGAGACCGAGCCCTACGAGGAAAGGCTGAGGGACTTGGGAATGTTCAGTCTGGAGGGGCCGTTCCCAGTTAAACGAACAATCAATGAGATGGCTGTAGAACTTGACTTGCCTAAAAACCGGAGACATTTGCATTCCATTTTCCATTTCAGCCTCCTCCGCCGTGATCCTGGGCCAAATGTATGGCGGCCGCAATGACCCCGTCCCCCTCCCCTGATGGTTCAAGGGGAACCGCATCATGAAGTTGCTGATATATTGGACTCTAAGCTGAAACGCAACAAGCTATTTTATTTGATTGAATGGGTGGATTTTGGTCCTCAACACCGAGAATGGGTGGTGGAGGAACATGCCTCCACCCCCCCCCCCACCTTCTCAAACGCTTCCATTGCCGCTTTCCAGAAAAACCTGGGGGGGGGGGCGTTGGGAGGGGCAGAATGTCAGGTAGCCCTGTCATAGACCTTCTGTGCTCATCAACAGCTTGCTATCTCATGTATGACCTTGTAGAGGTTCCAGCTGCAGCTTACTCGGCTGGGAAAGTTAACGGCTTGCTTTTCCCTTGCGTGCTTTGCTGCTTGCCTTTGCCCATGCGAGAGAGATATATCTATTGGCTCTTATTAGATAAGGGAATGTTTGATTTTAGTAGAAGTCAGAGGCCTTAGTATTGATGGCCATTCCTGACACAATCTGTAAACGTGTTCACTAGTAGTGGACTCATCAATAAACAGTTATCTTCTTATGAAGCCCTGTGTGGTGTGACCTAACTAAAGACCCTGACAAAGAGGAGCTTGAGGGGGGACATGATGGCTCTCTTGAAGTATTTGAAGGGCTGTCACTTAGAGGAGGGCAGGGAGCTGTTCCTGTTGGCAGCAGAGGAGAGGACTCGCAATAATGGGTTTAAATTAAGGGCGGGAAGGTACCAGCTGGATATTCAGAAAAACTTTTTTTACAGGAAGAGCTGTGCAACAGTGGAATCAGCTACCTAGGGAGGTGGTGAGTTCTCCCTCACTGGCAGTCTTTAAGCAGCGGCTGGACAAACACTTGTCAGGGATGCTCTAGGCTGATCCTGCACTGAGAGCAGGGGGTTGGACTAGATGGCCCCCTCCAACTCTGTGATTCTGTTTCAAATCACCAAACTTCTTTTCCCAAGACTTTAAAACACTTTCAAGGGTAAAGAGAACCTACGTTCTGCCCAACTCCTGAGGTGCCAGCCAAACTCATGAGGATGAGCTGATTCTTCTGGCTACTTTAAATGTATGTAACGAATTATTCCCTAAACATGCCAATATAATTTAGCTCATTTTCATTCTTGCGCATCAACTATTAGCTCTGACACATGTGCTCGAGAGAAATGCATTAGCTACAGAATTCCTCCTCTGATCATCACGACGGTGAATATCACTGCTCTTATTTCCGAGTAAGCCACATGCCGCAAGGCTTACCATAAGTAATTTCCCCGTTCTGCCGAATGCGCCGGCAAAACCTTGATGCTCTCTGCGTGGCTACTGACGGCAGCAATAAACATTTGCACAGTGATCAAAGCAAGGATATCTGCCCAAATTAATCCCACCAAACCAGCAATCAGACCCCCTGACTGCCTTTTAAATACCTGCTTGCATGCGTAACTGCACTGATCGCATTTGAATCTCTTCTCATTTCTGTGGATCTTCTTGTGCTGTCTGAGGGCATAGCGCTCGTGGAAGGCACTGTCACAGTAACTGCACTTGAGCGGGACTTCGACAAAGGTATGGAGATTTCGCAAGTGGATACCTGAAATGGGGTTTGCAGGATATTATTCTTCCCATTCAAAGACTGCTCCATGCAAATAGTTTCAGGATGGTAGCAATGCTCCCTCTATGCTATGAGTCTTGCGGGCAACAATTCTACTTTGTGAGATACTGGCATCAAAGTTGTGAGTGAGCAATTTGGCTACTGTGTAAACTATTTTGCTCTGTAGCCATCCTTCCTGAGCTAAGACAAAAATGTGAGATCTGGAAGCTAAAAATCTGTGAGCTAGCTCACACTAACTCAGCTTAGAGGGAACACTGGATGATAGCCGCATGGGTCTGCAACAGAGGAGTGAGATTTGATTCCAGGAACACCTTTGAGACCGGCTAGAATTTTCAGGAGAACAAAGTTTGAGTCCAATGGCACCTTTGAGACCAACGAAGTTTTATTCAACGTGTAAGCTTTCTAATGCAAAACACACTTCCTCAGACAAAACTGGAACAAAATCTCAAAATCTAGTTACAGGAAGAAAGAGGGTGGGGGTAAGCCTTTAGGAGTGGCCACTCGGGAGGCCAGACCAAATGCAGAGCTGAAACTGGAATGGGTGGCCGGTGGGATCAATGGCTGGCAGCAAATTAGCACGTAAACGCAAGCGTTAACAAAGAGATGTGGGAATGAAACTGGAGTCCAGCGGCACCCCCAAGAAAAACCAAGCTCAACCCTGCGTACATGCAAGAACAGAGACTCAGCACGTGCACATTTCTTCACTTATATTGCAACACCCCATCCTCTTTCTTCCTGTAACTAGCTTTTGAGATTTAATTCCAGTTTTGTCTGAAGAAGTGCGTTTTGCACACGGAGGCTTACACTTTGAATAAACCTTTGTTGGTCTTAAAAGGTGCCACTTGACCCAAACTTTGTTCTGCTGCTTCTGACCAACACGGCTACCCCACACGAATCTAGATTTCTCATGGTGAAAGGGAGCGTCACCAGATCCGTCAAATCTGGCAGAGAGTGCTTTGACTCTTGAGAGCTTATACCCGGGGAACTCCTGTTGGTCTTTAAGGCGCTCTTGGACTCAACTCTGCTCCGTGCAAAAGATTGTTCGCCGTTCACTGGGTTTCCCTAAAGGTCCCATTTTGCAGAATCTGGGGTGTAGGTGCAGGGAGACGAAAAAACAGTAAAGGCTTCTGCAACATAGAAAACAGGGATCTGGGGATTCATGACAGCCACAGGGAGTGATTTTGCATGTTGCTCAGAGGCAAAACTTTGGCTTGCCAGCACCAGCTCTCTGACACGGTAATCTAGAGTAGTGGTCCCCAACAGGGTGACCGTGGGTGCCCACCAACACGTCCCTTGGCACCCACCAGGTGTTTTTAGAAAGTGGGCAAGGCCAGCAGGGCTTTTGATTTGACACTGAAGACCTGATGGGACAAGCAGATTAAAATAACATTGTCTCTGTGGCAACTGCCACGACAGTGTTTGTTTTATTCTCTCTCACCCATCTTTCCTAGTGTAACTTTTTAAGTACCTTCTCTTCTCCCTTGCATTTGGGCTTCCTCTGTTTGTGTGGGGCCACCTCCTGCGGTGGCCATTTTGGTCATTGTGCCCACCACCCTGTGTCAGAATTCTGAAGGTACCCACAGGTACAGATTGGGGACCTCTGATCTAGAGATTCATTTGTTATGTGACACATTACATTTCAAGGTGTACATTTAAAATATCTTAGGATGCGGTCACAGGTGCCAGTTGAAGTGGAGGGGAAGCGAGGCTATTTCCTCCAGAGAAATTTGACATGCAGTTGCGAGATCACACGTCCCTTTGTAGGTGCAGGGGCAGCCCCCCCCCCGTCACTGTGTGATCAGACTCAACTGCGGGTCTTTGTTTCCCATGTGCTTAAACGAGGAATTGCACCTCCACACTGGGGGCCCCCTATGGAGTATGCGATGATGTGCATACTGCGAAGGGGGGGGGGATGGCACAAAGCCGGGATGGCCTGATCAGACCATTCCGACGGCATAAGTGGGTGCTTGCATGATGAGGCAGGGAAAAGTCCGTCTCTGGCTCGTCAGAACCTGTTTACTACCAGACTTTCCCCGGTGTCTTTTAACTCAGCTTCTGTGATAGAGCAGCACGGGTTGCCAACAACTGCAGGGCGCGTCCCAAATGTTGCTGTCCGATCGTTCCCTTTAGATCCATCAGGCATTCGCAGCTATGTCGGATCGAAAGGCATGTGTGATTGCAGCCTTCGTTGTATTGCAGATAAGAGGAGAGCGATGCTAAACAGGTCTACTCAGAATCACTTCGGTCTACTCTATTCAGTGGGGCTTAAAGGTAAAGGTTTCCCTTGCTCTAAAGCTAGTCGAATCCGACTCTAGGGGGCAGTGCTCATCTCCGTTTCCAAGCTGAAGAGCCAGCGCTGTCCAAAGACTTCTCCGTGGTCATGTGGCCGGCATGACTAAATGCTGAGGTGCACGGAACGCTGTTCCCTTCCCACCCAAGCGGTACCTATTTATCTACTTGCAATTTCTTGCTTTCGAACTACTAGGCTGGCAAGGAAATGTTCTCATGAGCCATCGAAAAACACAAAGCCAGTTGTTTGTGGGATCTCAAAAGGAATCTCAAACACATTGTTTTGTTCTCTAGTCATTCCTGGCTACAGCAACAAAACAAAGCAAGTCTCAGATCTCTTCCCCAAAACATGTGTTATGATCCTCCTGGACTCTAAAAATAATTATGCTGTCCTTGCTTAATGAAATTTAAAAGCAGCGAGGGTTTTGAGAGCTGCATAATCAGTTACTGTTTGTTAAACAGATATAAAAGTTCAGATGTTAATGTATGCTCTGGGCCAGGCCCACGCAGCAGTAAAAGTGGATGGAAAGAAACGCTTCCAATAACTTCAAAGGGAGCTGTATTGTGTCTCCTCTAAACTGATCTTCATTGCGATTCCGCGTCGTCTTTGAACTCCCTTCGGACCTCTGCTAGGCAGTTCACAAGGAAGCATTAATAAATTACACCCCCCAAGAAAAAACGTCCAATGACAAATTCAGAGCAGAAGTTGAAAATGAATTTTGCATGATCTGCCTCTGAGTACGTCAATCCTTTTCAACGCATTCTCACCATCTCATTCTCAGAGGCATCAGCAGCTAACTTTTTGGGCACAAAATTGTGGGATGCAGATAAATCCGCCCTCCCTCCCATTTTCTAGAAGGCCCCCCCCCCCATTCTTTTATACCAAACTGAAATCCAATCCAAGTCCAGAACTGGTAACTTGCATGGCTCAAACATTTGGATACTTAAAAATCACATGTTCCAATTCCTGTAGTGCCCCAATGTATGCACAGAACTATAGAAGTTATTCATTTAAAAGCCGCCCTGAGCCCGTTTGGGGAGGGCAAGATATAAATTTAATAAATACATAAATAAAAATAAATAAAACTTTATATCCTGCGATATCCACCTAAAGAAGGCCTGTAGTGCCAGACTATATAATAAAAATACATCATAACCTTTAAGCAATAAACCGCCCTGAACCGGTTCGCTGAGAGGGCGGGATATAAATACGAATAATAAATAAATAAATAAAATAAACCTAGTGCAATTTAAAAAATAAACACAACTGCTTCTGGTTTAGATCCACTTTAAGCCCCCACCCTCAGTGGTCTTCTGGAAAAGTCATAATTTCAGTGGGTTTCCTAATGGAATGGTGAGAACTCTATAAACAGGAAGCCACCAGCAAAAAGGCCTTGTTCTGACCTCTAGTGGAGGGGGTAAGGTCTCAGTTACAGACATGCAGGTTCATATTGAGAGCCAGTTTGGTGTAGTGGTTAGGAGCAATGCTCCCTCTAAGCTGTGGAGTCTTGTGAACAAAAATTCTGCTTTGTGAGCTGCTGGCATTAAAGTTGTAAGCAAGCGATTTGACTACTGAATAAATTAGTTGGCTCTAGAACCAGCTTTACTGAGCTAAGACAAATATGTGTGAGCTGGAGGCTAAAAAACTGTGCACTAGCTCACACTAACTCAGCTTAGAGGGAAAACTGGTTAGGAGCGTGGACTCTACTCTGGGAGAACCGGGTTTGATTCCCCACTCCTCCACATGCAGCTGCTGGTGTGACCTTGGGTCAGTTACAAATTCTTTCAGAGCTGTTCTCTCACAAGTATTCCTCAAAAGAGCTCTCTCAGCTCCACCTACCTCACAGGATGTCTGTTGTGGGGAGGGGAAGGGAAAGGAGATTGTAAACTGCTTTGAGACTCCTTTGGGTAGTGAAGGGCAGGGTATAAATCCAGTCTCTTCTTCTTCTTCTTCTTCATATAGGACCAAGCTATGAGGGCTTTACATATAAAAATCAGTATTCTGAACTGCATCCAGAAACTGACTGGGGAGTGTAGTGGAATGAGCCTTCTACCTGCCGTTCTTGTCTCTTTCGGGGACAGCTCAAAGCTTGCAACGTTTCTCAGCATCAAAGCGCAAGAATCGCAGCTTAGAATCTCAAATGAGAATGGAGCCGTACACTGTTCCGAGCCAGTGAAGATAATCCAGAAAAAAGGTGCCTAATGCTGCAATAGCACTTTCCTGGGAGTAAGCCCCACTGAATTTAATGGACTGACTTTTAAGTAGACCTGCTTCAGATTGGTCCCTCAAACTTGTAAAAAATCAGCATAATTTTTAAAGCAAACAAACTGCATCTCTCTCTGGGCTGCGTTCAAGGAGCGACTAAGAATAAGAGTAAACTTCCCCTGATGTGGAATGCCAACAAGAGCACCCAAATTCTCTGTGAAATTTCCTTTTAGAACTGATGAAGAGAAGAGATTGGATTTATACCCCGCCCTTCACTACCCAAAGGTGTCTCAGAGCGGCTTACAAACTCCTTTCCCTCCCCCTCCCCACAACAGACACCCTGTGAGGTAGGTGGGGCTGAGAGAGCTCTTGACAGAAACTGCTCTTTTTCAAGAACTGCTCTTTTTCAAGAACAGCTGTGCCAGAGCTACGGCTTGCCCAAGGTCATCCAGCCAGGTGCAAGTGGAGGAGTGGGGAATCAAACCCGGCTCTCCCAGATTAGCGTCCGCGCACTTAACCACTTTATTCTTGATGGAAGTCTTTACTTCTAACTCCTGAGTGATTCTGAGGGGAAAGCCAATTTTCAGACTAGCAACACTTCAGGGGGAGCAGTACACAGACATTCACAGACTGCAACAAGATTCCACCTTAAAAAAATGAAACGGATTTGTATTTGAGAGAAACATCTAAAGACTTCTGAGCCAAAGGAGTTTTGATATGACCAACCAAATTTGTCAGGGGTGTTCCATGAAAAATCTATTTACATTCGCTATGGAGATTGACCAGGCATGGTCATTAACTCAGAACAGCCACAAGGTGGTGCCACCTCCCTTGAATGCAAAAATAACGCGCCCGTTCCAGACATTGTGAAGTTGGCATAGTCTCCTGGACTGCATGAAGTCCAGCAAACTGCGAGCTACTCTGAAACAAGAAGAGGCTCCTTTTGAAACAATGCTTAAGTAGATTGCTCCTATGTTCTCCATAATATGACTTTAGGTCATGGTTGTGGGTTTGGCTTTAGAGTTACAAACTGTGTTGTTGTTTTTGGGATGCCTGCAATCAGAAGAAAAATCCCACAAAGGGGCACTAGACCCCAGACCCTGATGGGGAAGCTCCCCCCTTTGCCTGCAGCATCTTCCGTGCAAAGCAATGAACCAAATGAGGCACAGTGGTTAGGGTGCTGGACCAGGATCTGGGGGACCCAGGTTCGAATTCCCACTTTTGTTGTTGTTCAGTCGCACAGTCGAGTCCGACTCTCCGCGACCCCATGGACCAGATCACGCCAGGCCTTCCTGTCTTCCGCCGTCCTCTGAAGTTGGCTCAATTTCATGTTCGTTGCATCGATGACACTGTCTAACCATCTCATCCTTTGCCGTTCCCGTCTTCTTTGACCTTCAATCTTTCCCAGCATCAGGGTCTTCTCCAGTGAGTGCTCCCTTCTCATTTGGTGGCCAAAGTATTTGAGCTTCAGTTTCATTATCTGGCCTTCCAGGGAACAGTCAGGGATCATTTCTTCTATGATTGACTGATGTGATCTCCTTGCAGTCTGAGGGACCCTCAAGAGTCTTCTCCAGCACCACAATTCAAAAGAATCTATTCTTTGGTGCTCGGCCTTCCCACTTGGTCATGGATGATTGCTGGGCAACCTTGGATCAGTCACGCACCCTCAGCGTAATGCACCCCATAAGCTTGTTGTGAGGATAAAATGGAGAAGGGCAAATGCCGTTCACTACTTTGGGTCCCAAGAAAAGTCAGGTATAAATGAAGTAATTAAAATAAATACACTTTGTGGGGCAAAAGAAGAGGGTTAAAATCAGGCTGGCGGGGGGGGGGGCATCCCCCCCAAAGCAGTTTTCCAGGCCCCATTACCTTTTCTTGTTTCACACAAGTGACAGAAGCAACTGCCCTTCCACTAAGGGCTTTGAATTTTCCCCATTCTGTTACCAATCACGTTTTAATACCTTCTTTTCCTGCAAGGAGCTGAGGGTGACATACGTGACCCTCCCTCCTCCTCCATTTTATCCTCACAGCAATCCTGTGAGGTCTGTCAGAATGAAAGACACTGGACATCAAGAAAATGTCACGACTGAGTGTCAGCTATGCTGCCAGGGGGGTTGGGAAGTTCATTCTGTGTCTTGTTCATTGCTGTTATCCCTGCTGTTCTGCCTTTGCTGAAACGCTTATCTCTACAGATGTGCAGGAGGAGGTTGTATTGTCTGGAAGTCTCCCATGTACCGTGAGAGACTCCTGGTTCCCAGCTTTAGCCACCTAACGGTTTCCTCACTTATCCCACGTGTGGGAGGGCACCTAATTGGCCCATGCCATAGGGGGGTGCATACGAATACCCTATATCCTATTAGACTCTATTGGTTGCCACCATTCTTAATGGTGCGTGTGTTACTGCATCTATAGCTTTGCAATAAAAGTATAACCGTTCCCGAATGCGTGTACTTCGTTGTTAGCTGTGGGTTCTGACACTGAGCCAGGACTTGAACCTGGGTCTCCCCGGTCCAATCTCCAAATGCTTGTCTGCATTGCCATAATGGTGTCCTGGGTCTTTTCTGCTTTACTTGACGAGGGCCTAAAATTAACTTCAGAATTGGGCATAGATCCGTAGTTTTCTGCAGTTTTCGGGTTCCTTCTTTTCTCTCTCTTTCTTACAGCTTTAAAGATGGCCACCAGTACATTACGGGCATTGATTAAATCACTGTGCCAAAACGAAACCTGATGCGATTACACAATTGCATCGTGATTTCTTTTTGAGCTTTGATTTACTTAATGCTCAGTGTTATTAATTGCACATCAGTCTACCCATCAGAAAACAAAGACGGGCCAGATGACTAAACCAAGTCCACGCATTTTTTTTTTTAAATGGAAGAATGGTACATAATTATCGAACTGCCGTTGTTTTGGGTAAAAAATATTTAGGTTACCAAAACCCAGGGAGAAATTTGGATAAGGCAAACTTCTCGTGCGTAGCTAACTAAAACTAGGGAAATGGTGTAACAAAGTGGTTAAGACCCTGAGCCAAGATCTGGGAAGACCTGTATTCAAATCTGTCCCCTGCCAGAAACTCACTCGATGACCTTAGTCGTGCCACTTTCAGTCTGAATTCCCTACCTAAGAACATAAGAGATGCCAATGTTGGATCAGGCCAAAGGCCCATCCAGTCCAACACTCTGTATCACACAGTGGCCAGAAATACCAGGTGCCATCAGGAGGTCCACCAGTGGGGCCAGAACATTAGAAGCCCTCCCACTGTTGACCCCCCCCAAGCACCAAGATGACAGAGCATCACTTGCCCCAGAGTCCCTATCTATACCTTGTGGCGAATAGCCACTGATGGACCTCTGCTCCATATGCTTATCTAATTCCCTTTTGAATCCGGCCATGCTTGTAGCCGCCACCACTTCCTGTGGCAGTGAATTCCAAGTGTTAATCACTCTTTGGGTGAAGAAGTACTTCCTTTTATCCGTTCTAACCCAACCGCTCAGCAATTTCATGGAGTGCCCACGAGTTCTTGTATTGTGAGAAAGGGAGAAAAGTACCTGCAGTATGGCCATCGTAACACTGGCCAACCTTACAGGGCTGTTGTAAGGAGTTCAACAAGATGATGTGTGAAGCACTTTGGATGTTAATGCTGAGGATATAACTGAATGGGAAGCCCTGGATTGGAACAGGGCCCCGGGGCCACAACAACAATCCTCGTGGGTGCCCTTTGAGAAACGATTTGCTTAATGGGCTTTCCAGTTCTTGACTTAGAACAAATGCGCCAGATTGGGATATGCTGGGGATGGCAGTTTCTTAAATCAGAATTTTACATTATGAGTCTGGCCTTAATTCTTCATTGATTCTTTTAAGCAAATAACAGAATACTGAAACTTACCTAAATCACCCTTCCTGGCGACACAAGTACTGCAGTGTGGACATTGGTATTTGGGCACATTTTCCCCATGCTTGTGCAATACATGGAACTTCAGAGTTCCGGCCTGGGTGAACCTGGCCTTACAAATCCTGCACTCAAAGGGCTTTTCACCTGTGGGGGGGCAAAAAAAGACAACCAAGTCAATTGGAAAGTAAAATACCAGGGCTAAAAATTTTGGTGCTGTCTATATAATTAGTTTCTTTTACTCTCTTTTATTCTTGATTTTACTCCCACTGCACGTGTCAGATTTACCCACTTCACACACACACTGCTTGGGATTTTGCTTCTCCTGGTTTGCTTATCTGATGTGCTTCCCACCACATTAGTCGATGTGGCAGCTCTCCCAGAAGCCTTTGCCAAATGACCTTGAGTGGCTGATCCAGAAGCTAAAACCTACTGCCAAAAATGACTTTCTTGTTTGGCAATACATATACAAAGAGAGACAGAGATGATGCTTCGTTTTCCATTCCGTTTTACTTGTTTCCCTCTTTCACGCAGACTTCGTCCACTTGGGCCCAACATTCCACGGCACAGCCCATTTGGAAGTCCAGAGGGGCCCCTCCTCCCTCTTTTGCCAGCAAAAAAGTTGGCACAATCCAATCCACTCTAAGCTACATGTAAAATTTCATCTGCTTACCATGCAAGCTCCCTGACCTGGATGTATCCCAGTCTCATTGGATCTTGGGAGCTAAGCAGGGTTGGTCCTGGTCGGTTACTACTTGGACAGGAGAACCTCAGAGAAGTCCAGAATGCTACAGAGAGGTGGACAGTGGGAGACCACCTCTGTCCATCTCTTGCCTTGAAAGCCCTATGGGGTCATCATAAGTGAGCTGCAACTTGATGGCACTTTCTGTTGGAAGTGCATGTGTTTACAAGGTCTGACAATTCAGTCATTATAGGGTTAACTTGTTTGCCTAGTATTGCTATTGTTTAGACTGACCCAGAAGGGATACCTGGCAGTAAGCCAATGGGGAATTAGCCCGGGAAAAGTAACTTCTGTTGTGATAAGTGATTGGTTGTTTGTTTCAGGTGACTTCCTTTCTAGGGGTCGAGAAGAAAAACAGATTCTCCATTATCTGTGTGTTAATGTTGACCATAGACAGCTTAGAAAATGTAGCTGTTAGTGTTATGTTTATTTGTAGTTATCCTGTGTACCTTTTACCCTTAGAAATAAAGGTTTTTAAAAGCAAAGAAATCTCTTCTTTTCAATAGAGCAAGATCCATTGATAGTCTGAGTATTAAACACTTTTGACCATTTTACAACACTTTCCACCACCAGCACGCAACCTGGGTAGCAGTGTGTGTGTGAACAAGATCTTGGGGTACGGGTATGAGCAGCCAGTGTGATGCGGCGACCAAAACAGCTAATGCAATCTTGAGGTGCATCAGCAGAGGCATAACATCCAAATGGCAAAATGTCATAGTCCCGCTGTACACTGCATTGGTCAGGCTACACCTGGAGTATCGTGTGCCGTTCTGGAGGCCTCACTTCAAAAACAATGTGGACAGAATGGAGCGGGTGCAGAGGAGAGTGATGAAAATGATCAGGGGCCTGGAGACCAAGCCCTGTGAGGAAAGGCTGAGGGACTTGGGAATGTTCAGTCTGGAGAAGAGCAGGTTGAGGGGCGAAACGATGGTTCTCTTTAAGTATCTGAAGGACTGTCCCTTGGAGGAGGGCAGGGAGCTGTCCCTGTTGGCAGCAGAGGATGATAGGACTCGCAATCATGGGTTTAAATTAAGGGTGGGAAGGTAGCGGCTGGATAGTAGGAGTTGTGCAACAGTGGAATCAGCTGCCTAGGGAGGGGGTGAGTTCTCCCTCCCTGGCAGTCTCTAAGCAGCGGCTGGACAAACACTTGTCAGGGATGCTCTAGGGCAGTGATGGCGAACCTTTTAGAGACCGAGTGCCCAAACTGCGACCCAAAACCCACTTATTTATCGCAAAGTGCCAACACAGCAATTTAACTTGAATACTGAGGTTTTACTTTAGAAAAAACAACTCATACGTTAATTTAAGATGATCCAAACAAAGTAAGAAAAGCAATCCCAAATGCTTTCATTTACTTAAAATTATTTGGCAGATAATTCGACACTTTAATGATGGTCTGGGCCTGGCTGGGGTGATGGTCTGGGCCTGGCTGAGGGCTCTGAGTGCCACCTCTGGCACCCGTGCTATAGGTTCGCCACCACTGCTCTAGAGGCTGATCCTGCATTGAGCAGGGGATTGGACCAGATGACCTGTATGACCCCTTCCAACTCTGTGATTCTAGGATTCTATAACATCAGTGCTGCAATCCTTTGTAACGGGAGAGTTCATTGCCCACGAGCCTCCTGGTATATGCGGTCCCCATTTTGTGTGAATTGTGCAGGGTGCGTATTTTCAGGCTTTGGTGCACAAACCCGGATATGTATACCCTTACAAATCTGGGTTTCCGATTGTGAGTATCGAAGCTGGGAAATTATGCGTGCCCTGTTCTCAAAATGGCCATGTGCACTGAGAGGATTGTGGGTAGCATGATCTCCCCTCACACGCAAGCCGGAAAGCGTAAATGACAGAAAGGGGCGGCAACAGGAGTTAAAGGCGCTAACTGGGTGAATGGTGCTCATCATCTGCAAAAAAAGAGATATTATCTACTCCGAATTTAGAACCACCATGATTTTGTAACCAACACCTCATGCATCACCTTCTACAGCAACCTCCTGAGCCCCCTGGCTATTCAAGTTCCTGGAAAATAGGGGATCCTCAGGGACAACGTGAAGGTCTGCTGGGGGAGGGGGGAAATCACCAGGAATCCGCACCCTCTTCCACCAGCCAACAGAAATGCCTTGAGACAGGTGAAGTGGGCTGTCAAGTCACAACTGGCTCATGGCTAACCCCTGAAGTCTCACCTCATGGGGTTTTCAAGGCAAGAGATGAGCAGAGGTGGTTTGCCAAACTGCCATCGCCAGTTTGGTGCAGCAGTTAGGAGCGCAGACTCTAATCTGGGAGAACCGGGTTTGATTCCCCACTCCTCCACATGCAGCCAGCTGGGTGACCTTGGGTCAGTCACAAGTTCTCTCAGAGCTGTTCTCTCAAGGGCAGTCCTCGAAAGAGCTCTCTCAGCCCCACCTACCTCACAGGGCGTCTGTTGTGGGGAGGGGAAGGGAAAGGAGTTTGTAAGCCTCCTTCAGGTACTGGAGGGTGGGGTATAAATCCAATCTCTACTTCTTCCTCCTCCACAAAGCACCCCCAGTCTTTCTTGGTGGCATCCCACCCAACTACCAAACCTGCTTAGCTGCTGACCTCTGACCAGATCTGGCTAGCCTGAGCTACTGGGGCTTCTCCAGGACGAATGTCTGTCGAGTTGCAACAGACTCACGGTGATACCAACCAGGGGGTTCAGTTACGGGCAAGAGATGCTCAGAGGTGGTTTGCCTTTGCCTGCCTCTGCGTAGCCAACCCTGAACTTCCTTAGTGGTCTCCCATCCAACTACTGACCGTGGCCAACCCTACTTAGCTCCAGAGCCCTAACCAGGCCGGGCTAGTCTGGGCTATTAGGGCCAATGCTCCCTCTAAGCTGCGGAGTCTTGTGAGCAGAAATTCTACTCTGTGAGCTGCTGGCATTAAAGTTGTGAGCGAGCGATTTGGCGACTGCATCAATCAGTTTGCTCTGGAGCCCTCCTTCCTGAGCTGAGACAACAATGTGTGAGCTGGAGGCTAAAAACTGTGAGCTAGCTCACACCCACTCAGCTTAGAGGGAACACAGATTAGGGCTGACATCACTGGAAACAGATGGTTTGGGGGGAGAAATCACACCCGGTCAAAAGACCCCTGCACTGTTCTAAAAGCAGTATTTCTCCCACTTACCTGAGTGAGTAACCATGTGCCTTTTCAGCTTGTAAGTGTCCCTGCTGGCGTAGGCGCACAGAGTGCAGGTGTAAGGGCGCTCCCCGGTGTGCGAACGGATGTGGCGCTTCAACTTGCTTGCCTAGCGTTAGGAACGCAAAGGGGAAAATGCGATAAGAGCCCAGGATACGGCACAAACAGGCCCCCTATGGGTTCCCAGTCACTGCGGGTACAACGGATCCGCGAGATCCAACCCGAGAGTTTTAAAGAAGGTTTCAAAGGCCGGCGTCGCTTTCCAGAGGGTGTCAGGCTGTGGAAAAATACGTTCAGCCAATACAAAGTCCTGCAGAAACTATTTATCGCAGACCAAAGTGGAATGAAAAAGCACAATACTAGCCCGCCTTTAAAAGCGCCTTCTATCTACCCCATCACATTTTTATTCTGCCTTTTCCCCCAAAGACTACAAGGTGGAATACACAGTTCTTCCATCTAGGGCTGTCAGCCTCCGTGTGGCACCTGGAAATCCCCCAGAATTACAACTGATCTCGAGACGACAGAGCTTAATTCCCCTGAAGCAAATGGCTGCTTTGGAGGGTGGACTCTTATGGCCTTCTACCCTGCTGAAGTCCCTGCTCTTCCCGAAACCCCAACCTCCCCAGGCTCCACCCCCAAAATCTCCAGGAATTTCCCAACCCGGAGCTGGCAACCCTACTCCCAGGGCTTTTTTTGTGGAAAAGGCCCAGCAGGAACTCATTAGCATAATAGGCCACACCCAGCAGCAGAAACTCAATAGAATATTAGGCCACACCCCTGACAGCACAGCTCATTGGCATATTAGGCCGCACCCCCATGTCACCAGAAGTGTGCTCATCCAGCCACACCCACCTTTTGCTTCTTATTCTGTTTACCTTGTTTGTGGTCAAAACCCAGGGCTTTTTTTGTTGCAGGAACTCCTTTGCATGTTAGGCCACACATCCCTAATGTAGCCAGTCCTAATGAGTTTCTGCCGTTGGGTGTGACCTATTATGCTAATGAGTTCCTGCTGGGCGTGGCCAACTTGGGAGCCAGCCGGAACTCCGTTCCTGTGCGTTCCTGCCCAAAAATAGCCCTGCCTACTCCCATCCTCTGCTGTATCCTCACAACAGCCCTGTAGGGTTGCGTAGGCTGAAAGAGAGTAACTTTTTTACAGTTGACCCACGGGAGGGGAGGAATACTAATTCCAGCTGTAACATCTGAGGTGCACCGGGGGGGGGGCAGCTGTGTTGGTCTGAAGCAATATAACGACATTAAAGTCCAGTGGCACCTTCCGTGGAATAAGTGGGGATATGGACCTGGCTTTCCGCAGATCCTAGTGTGACGTTTTAACCACTACAGCATGTTAGCAGTATATATATAGCAGTATCACAGCTTGTTGTGAGTCCTTTATTAGAAAGTGGAACACAAGAGATCTTGCAATAAGTAATAAATATATACAGGAGCACCCCCCCCCCGGCAATTGTTTTTAAGTTTATTTATTTACTTTAAGTATATTCTGCCTTTCTCCCCAAAGGAAACCTGAAGTGGCTTAAATTCTTCTCCCCTCCTCCTTTTTATCCTCACAACAACCCTGTAAGGGAGGTTAGGCTGAGAGTGTGTGACTGGCCCAAGGTCCCCCAGCAAGCTTCTGTGAAATAAGTGGGGATCTGAACCTGGCTTTCCCCAGATCCTGGTGTGATGTTTTAACTGCTACATCACGCTAGCATAAAACTGTGCCTGGTTTGCACTTGGATTCTGGGCAACTATTCACCTCTGTCCTTTCCCTGTTTTGTAAAGCATCTCTAAGAGGCCCTTTAGCCCCATAAGAAGAGCCAGTTTGGTGTAGTAGATGGGGGCGCAGACTGTAATCTGGGAGAACCGGGTTTGATTCCCCAGTCCTCCACATGCAGCTGCTGGTGTGACCTTGGGTCAGTTACAAGTTCTCTCAGAGCTTTTCTCTCAGGAGCAGTAGAACTCTCTCAGCCCCACCTACCTCACAGGCCACAGCTTCCCTCTAAGCTGAGTTAGTGTGAGCCAGCTCACAGTTTTTTAGCCTCTGGCTCACACATGTTTTGTCTTAGCTCAGGAAGGATGGCTCCAGAGCAAACTAATTTCTGCAGCAGCCAAATCGCTCACTCGCAACTTTAATGCTAGTAGCTCACAAAATGGGATTTCTGCTCACAAGACTCCACAGCTTAGAGGGAGCATTGCGGTTGCGGGGAGGGGAAGGGAAAGGAGATCGTAAGTCGCTCTGAGACTCCTTCGGGTAGTGAAGGGCAGGGTATAAATTCCTCCTCCTTCTCCTCCTCTTCTTCCCTGCAGTTCCTGTCACCCATTGGTAATCCCAAGCATCTCACCTACCCTTCCACCTTTGGGTCTAGAGCTATAGGCTGCATAGGGAGGGGCTGTGGCTCAATGGAAGAGCCTCTGCTTGGCATGCAGAAGGTCCCAAGTTCAATCCCAGGCATCTCCAGTTCAAAGAACCAGGCAGTAGGTGATGTGAAAGACCCACCCACACCTAAATCCCTGGAGAGCTGCTGCGAACCTGAATAGACATCACTCACCTTGATGGACCCAGGGTCTGATTCAATATAAGGCACCTTCATGTGTACCCCTGAAGCAGGAATCTGAACCCAGGCCTCCAGAGTCTTAGTCCAATACTCTAACCAGGCCTCTCCACTTGGGGGAAAAAAGTAACCCTCTACCTCCCGCCAGAGCCCACCCTACTCCGGTCCTCAATATGACGGCTGTGCTTACCTCTACACTACAGTAGTTACAGTACGAACACTTAAAGGGCTTCTCGAGAGTATGCTTGTAACGCCTGTGGCGCGAAAGCTCTCCACTGGTCACAAAGGCCATTTCGCACTCGCTGCACTTGTACGGAATGGTCCCTGTGAAAAAGACAGTGGAGTGAGTTGCGCTGAGGAAGACTCTGCTTATTTCAGCGGACGGCAGGCTTACGTTTTCTGCCGCTTGAAAGAGAACCTTCTCTAGGTTCCCAGAAGACCACACGATGGTTACATGTGGGCGGCAACTGTTATGTACTGAGTCTAACCCTTGGTGGACCCACAGCAACCCAGTCCAACAATTACACAGTAGGCATCCTACCTCTGCATCCTTTACCACCATTCTTTACAAACACCCCTCCTGACTGGGATAAAAAGACTCAGATCTTGAAGGCCAATTCTGCACCCATCTGTTTCCTCACGGTTTTTTTCTAACCCTTGGTGGACCCACAGCAACCCAGTCCAACAATTACACAGTAGGCATCCTACCTCTGCATCCTTTACAACCATTCTTTACAAACACCCCTCCCACCTCCTGACTGGGATAAAAAGACTCAGATCTTGAAGGCTGATTCTGCACCCATCTGTTTCCTCACAGTTTTTTCCACAGCCAGGTCGGGAGGTTCATCTCCCTCTACGCTGCATGACGCTTTCACTTTCTTTGTTCATCAGGTTTTATGGTTGTTCCCTTTGAATCCTTCCTCCACTTTTGATTCAAAGGGAACAACAGGCAGACAACTTGACACGGTTTCACCGATCTCCGTCAGTTCCCCTGCCCCCCTTTTCCCCCTCTGTATTTATCACCTCGCTGTGAATTACTTGGCTCAGGCAGCTAATGACCGCTGAGGCAAGTACTGACACAGGAAAATCTGCATACCAGACTGAATGAAAACAGATATTCCGAGGCAAGAGGGAACCAGGTCGAGTGCTGAGAAAATGTGGAGCGAATGCCAGATGCAGAATGGGCCGACAGCTTATACCTTAAAAATATTGTTGCTCTCTAAAGTGCTACCAGACCAGGGTTCCCTCTAAGCTGAGTTAGTGTGAGCTAGCTCACAGTATTCTAGCTTCCGGCTCACACATTTTTGTCTTAGCTCAGGAAGGATGGCTCCAGAGCAAACTAATTGATGCAGTAGCCAAATCGCTCGTTCACAATTTTAAGGCCAGTAGCTCACAAAGTAGAATTTTTTTCTCACAAGACTCCATTGCTTAGAGGGAGCATTGTGCCAGACTAGAATCTAACTGGTCAAACAAAGATGCCTTCTGGTTCTAGCCATACCTGTGTGTGTGTTCACATGGTTACGCAACAAGGAAATGGTACGGAAGGCCTTGAGACAGATGTGGCACATGTGGGGTTTGGCATCCGAGTGTTTTTTCACATGACGGTTAAGGCTCCACACGCTGACAGAGGTGAATGAGCAGAAATCACAATACTGCAGCACATCTCCTAGAGGGACACAATTATTTCCAGGTCAAATAAGTCATTAAAAAGCACATGGGGGGGGGGGCAATGGGGGGAAATAGCCACTTTTATAGCTTTCCCAGCCACCTCCAGACAAAGGCACACATGCTTACGTGCCAATACTCTCATCACTTTATGCCCTTCATCAGAATGTGTGAACAGCCTCCGTTGAACGTTGCTGTATTGAAGTGATATGAAAGTCTAGACTAGCTACAATTCACTCACACAGCTCTTTTGAAGCAGCAGGAAACATTTCAACGATTCGGGAATTTAAAACAAATATAACATCCTTTTTTTTAAAAAAAAACCCACAATTTTTATTAAAACTATTGGCAAATTAGAATACACACAATTGACCTCTTTGCCCCCTACCAGATAACTTTGATCTGGAAATAAAAGCCTCCTAAAACTGGAAGTTCACCGAAGTCACACAAGATGGTCTTGTGTGGGTCTAATCTAGCCTGCAGATTACCCATCAGCCATTTCTGGTGTAGACTCTAACCCAAGTCAGCATCCGGAAGACTGTTCGATTTTTTGCCTTCTATGTGGGATCCAATGGTCTGGAGGAAGCGTTTTAAGCAACATGTGGGTTCTGTACAGTTGAAAGGAATGTTTCAAACAGCTAGAGCTGTAAAGTTATGTTTACTGGCAGAGATAAACTTTTTGTGAGGAAGCTGGTATACTTCAAGGGAACGGGAAAGGGGTGTTTCAATTTATATTTCCCGATAGTAAATCACCGAAAAACACCGCAAAGTTCACTCCACGTGTGGCTATTACAAAACCAGGGTAATTCATCCTGATGCCTAAGACCTACATTTTATCAAGACTTTTAATATGTGGACATTTGTAAGAATTGTGTGTGCGTGTTAAGTGTTGTCAGGTTGCTTCCGAGTTATGGCAGTCCTATTAATTAATGTCCTTCAAATGTCCCATAATTAGGGGTCATTTTGTAGACAAAGAGGTGCAGGAGCTCATTAGCATAACTCATTAGCATAACTTATTTGCATGTGGCACACCCTCTGACATCACCGGAAGTGTGTCAGGAGGCAACACCCACCGCTCATGCTCCACTGGACTGTTTTGGATTGCTAGCTATTGGGGGGGGGATGTGCAGATCTGTCCTCACAGAGGAGGGAGAGCTTGTACCTGAATAAAACTTGGTCTTAAAGGTGCCACTGGACTGTTTTGAAACGGGGGGTGTGTGTGTGCTCTGCAGCTTACCTGGCTGCTTCTTGCTCTGACTGAGGGCTGCTGGGAGCAGGGGGTGGGGCTTGTTCCATGTGCCCACCCCCTGGGCTCTTTACTGCCGGAGCTCCACTCCTGTGCGCTCCTGCAGGAAATGACCCCTGCCCATCATTAACTGAGCCTTGCTCAGGTCTTGCAAAAGGAGGGCCGTGGCTTCTCTTTATACAGTCCATCCATCTCGGGTTGGGTCTTCCTCTTTTCCTGCTGCCTTCAACTTTTCCTGGCATTACTGTCTTTTCCAGTGACTCTTGTCTTCTCACAATGTGACCACAGTATGATAGCCTCAGTGTAGTAATTTTAGCTTCTAGGCCCAAAATCAAATCAGGCTTGATTTGATCTAGAACCCACTTATTTATCTTTTTGGTGGTCCACAGTATCCATAAAACTCTCCTCCATCAGACCACATCTCAAATGAATCTAATTTCTTCCTGTCAGCATCCTTCAACTTTCATACCCACACGTAGTAATGGGGAATCCCATGGCATGAATTAACTTGGATCTTGGTTACCAGTAGTGACTAGTTTGGTGTAGTGGTTAAGTGTGCGGACTCTAATCTGGGAGAACCGGGTTTGATTCCCCACTCCTCCACTTGCACCTGCTGATGTGACCTTGGGTCAGTCACAAGCTCTGGCACAGCAGTCCTTGAAAAAGAGCAGTTTGTGTCAGAGTTCTCTCAGCCCCACCCACCTCACAGGGTGTCTGTTGTGGGGAGCGGAAGGGAAAGGAGTTTGTAAGCTGCTCTGAGACTCCAAGTGAAGGGCGGGGTATAAATCCAATCTCTTATCTTCTAAGGTGGGCAGTGTTCCCTCTAAGCTGAGTGAGTGTGAGCTAGCTCACAGTTTTTTAGCCTCCGGCTCACACATTTTTGTCTTCGCTCAGGGAGGGTGGCTCCAGAGCAAACTAATTCAAGCAGCAGCCAAATCGCTCACTCACAACTTTCATGCAGGTGGCTCACATAGTGGAATTTTTGCTCACAAGACTCCTCAGCTTAGAGGGAGCACTGGTAACGACACAGCCTTACACTTAAGAATCTTTTCTGGCACCTTCATGGTTGCCCTTCTCAGTCTCCTGATTTCTTGGTTTGCAGTCCCCCTTTTGGTTGATTATGGAGCCCAGGAACAGAAAATATTGACCAAGTTCAGGTTCTCTTTTATCAAGACCTCCTCTGAACTGCTTCGGTTAAACTCTTTTGTGCCCCGCACATTAGACAACCAGGCTGGCTTCAAGTGGCAAATTTAATAGCAGTTAAATTAAAATGCGCACAAACTCAACTTGCTGCCAGATTGGCACATGCGCCGTGGCTCCTCTTTCTGCCCTTCTCATGCAAGAGAATGAGGCAGGCGGCCAGGCCCATGAACCTGGCACAATTTTAAGTGGCATTTAAGTTTGCCGTCTAAATTCATCTTTGGTCTGCTTCTGAGAGAAGTGATTTTTTTAAAAAGCTCCAACATATAAACAAAATCATCTGCAAAACTCCTCACCATATTCTTGGAGAAGCAGGAGATGTTTGCAAAATACAGATAAAGGACACTGAACGTTGCACAAGAGAACCCAATTTGACTCCTAACTCAGACTTGCGTGGAGATGCCAGCCTCCAGAGGGCACCTGGGGATCATCTGGTGTTGGGTATTACAAGTTGAAAACACTCAGTATATCTGGGGTTAAATGTTTGTTTATGTTACTCCCAGGAAGTCACATGTTTCTCATGTAACCAATGTTCTTTAGCTGTAGGATGCCGGGAACTTTTTCCCTGATCTAGGAATTTGATTGGGACTAAAGTGTCAAGGTGTATTACCATTTTATGGCTTCTCTTCCCATCTTTGTTTTGGTGTTCTGAAGAAGAAGAAGAGCAGCCATAATCTCTCCTCTTCTAGTTTTGTCTTTGTAGAGTAAGGATGTAGCTGATTTTGCTCTGTTGTTATTTTCATCCCAGTTACCCTTCCCATGCTAGAATTTAGTAAAAACTTTATATTTTAATCACACATGGATTCTGAGTCTGAATTATTTTACTCTGGCTCTGCTGGACCATCTTATCTCTGCTAAATACCATTTTTTTCAATATCTCACTATCACCCAACACCTGGAGTTACAGCTCATCTCCAGACTACAGAGATCAGTGCCCCTGGAGAAAAGGGATGCTTTGGAGGGTGGACTCTGTGGCATTGTACCCCACTGAGGTCCCTGTCCTCCCCAGGTTCCATCCCCAAATCTCCAAGGGTTTCCCAGCCTGGATCTGGCAAAAAACAAAACAAAAACCAACACACACATCCCCCACCTTCTGCTGGCCAGGAGGGACCTAGCGACCCTAAACTTGCAGGCTTCAAAAGCCACCAACTT